GCTGACTACAGGAGGCCCGAGGCTGAGTTGCTCTGCCCCGAGCTCCTGGAAATCAGCCGCTGATCAGTTTCAACAGGCTGAATCTGGACGCCAGTTCCAACTTACATACAGATTCAACTTAAGAACAAACCTACTATCTTGTACGTAACCAGGGGACTGTCTGTACATGGATGAGAAGTCCGTTTTTGTTTTGTTTGTGTTTATGTTCAGTGCAGTTAACAATATCATTTCTTCTAGTGATTTCATGTGTCCATTCTGCTTCAGGGGTGCATGTCTAGTGCACTGTGGGAGGCTTTTCCTCAACGTTGTGCATTGAGGCAGCATATATGCCGTATGCTGTCTTGTGCCAATGTGCAGTGGTGTAAAGGGCAGAGCCATTCCTGATTCCGCTTGATGGTTCTTAACTACTCATGATGGTTATTGAGTGTGTTATCTTGCTATTGCAAGCTTTTCTTAAATTGTCGATTTTTATAGATACTTGGTTTTCTCCATAGTTTTAGTGTTAGGTGCTTCTAGTCAAAGTGGTTTTTTTTTTTTTAAAGTGTTTTCTTTATATTTTTGTTCTCATTGCTGGGCAGCAGTACTGGTGCTGGTATATGCCTCGGTCGCTGGATCTCAAAACCTCCTGTTCTCTCAAGAAACCAATGCCAACGAACGACCTGCCCTCCAGTTTCATGAAGTGTCATTGAATCATGCTTCAGGAATTAATGCCAAATTTGCAGGGACTTTAAATATAGAACCAAGAAAGATAAGGAATCCGGACGTAAATTTCTTCTGATTGAGGCCTTGTACCTATCATCAGAACCACACTGCTCGGAGCAGATATCAAAAACATGATATCTTCTCCTATTTTGGCTGTATCCCAATGCTTGTCATCTTTCTGGTACCAAGGAAGAAGCACTGGAAGGTGGTCTTGAAATATTCAGAATATGGAAGATTGAGTTCCCTGGCACCGAAGTCTAGCAAGCATGCTGAGAAAGGGAGTAAAATACACTTGACACCAAGGCTTTGCTGTCCCTCGAAAAGGCAGGCAAGCATGCAGCAGAAGCAGAGAAACGACTATCTTGTGGAGGGGTGGGGGTGAGGTGTCTCTTTGTGAGTTTCTCTGCAAGGCTTCTGCACCAACACTCAGAAGAAACTGGTGACCCCAAAGCCCTGCCTGAAGTGATTCCGGGTTGCCTTTTATGCAAGAGATAGTCCAAGCAGTCTGGATGCTCTCTTTTGAAAAAGCGATGTGCTTTTTTCGATGTGCTTTTTGTGTGGATGATCTCTTTCGGAAGAAGTTTTTTCCAAAGATCTCTTCCGAAAAAAGGTATTTCCAAAAGAAGCCTGCAGTCTAGACAGCTTCAGGCGGGCCGTCTGGCCCTAGGCCAGTTGGCCAGAGACCCACTCTAAGTGCAGCTCCTGGTATTGGGCTTGATACCGAGCAGGTGAATCTGCCTTTGGAGATATCAGAGGAGGCTCCACCACATGCAGCCTTGTTTTCATCTTCTTCATTACGTGACAGAGCAGGTGCTCCCTTGACTCCCCTGATGATTATCGAGCCCTTTGGGACTGTTTAAAGAGAATGACTTACACTTTGGCTATCCACGTGGAAATAGAGGCTTCAACCGACTGATGTTTTAGCCACTGTAGACCTCCTCCAGTGGTGCTTCCGTTTACTTAACCTATTCTGGAGACCACTAAAGTGCACTAACAGACTCCATCTTCCCTTTTTCACTGCAAAACAGGCTGAGTGCAGGTTTTATGTTTCCTCACAGGTGTGGAGCATTGACTCACTCACTCCCTTCTGGCATCAGTGGTGTTCTCGGTTGCCATTCAGAGTTTGCGAGGGTCAGCAGACATATATCCCGTAACAAATAACATAATAACCCTTGATCTTTGTCAGAAAATGTTATTGAATAGTTGGCTTGCGGCTGAGGATTGCTAATCACCAGGCATTGCTGGGGTGCTACCTCTGTGATAGCTGAAAGTTTTAAGGACTGATTGCTAGAGGACAAGAGGGGAAGAATTCCTTGCTATGGTGGTTGAAAGGAAGTTGGTGCTCAGTACCTTGCTTTAGATGAATTTTGCTTCTGACTAGTGGTTGCCATTTCAACGCACACATTAGTGGCTCTAGTTAATCAGGTCTTCCTGAAGATAACCAATCAAGCATTCATGATCTTCCTTTTTGAGGGGCTGTCATTGTTCTCCATGCAGACTAATAACAAGCTGAATAGCCTCAAGGACTCCAGGACTACCCTCAGATGTTAGGGCATTTATACATCTGTACTAAAAAACAGCAGTCACACCACTTTCCATCATTTACACCTTGACACCAGAATTTATTTAGGAAAAAGGGCGGAGGTTATAGGAGGAGACCACCCTCTCCACCTTCTTTTACACTAACACCCAGTTTGTCTAGACAACTTGGGAGTTTTGAGCAACCATTTTGTTGTTTGTCAAGGACTGCTTTGCTGTAAGCATGGTGGAATTAGGATACAAGTTTCAGTATGTTTCTGTTGCTCCCCTCTCCATCTTTCCTGTCCCTTTTTTTCAGGGACCACTCTTACAAAGAAGTTCTCCTTTAGAAGATCTACTCTAGTTGGAAGTTTCTCAGATTTTCAGAGGATAGAGATTTTATACCTGCTATTTCTTGATCCCAAAAGCATACTAGATTTGCCACAGTTCTTAATCTAACTTTTCTGAAATTATAAACCAAAATCTTAAGATTTTTTTAAAATTATTTGCTTTGTAATTTAGGTTGTTGGTCAGCTTTTTTCATCCTTAAATATTTATATAACTGATACATTTACAAGTAGATTAACATTTATTAATCTATGTGCGAAATACCAAAGAAGCAGCTATTATTCAGAAAATATTTCTTGTTAATCTTCATATTTTTCTGCTTCTCTTTGCAGACAAAGAGAGCCATCCACCTCGAAAGTTTCCTTCTGACAAGATATTTGAAGCCATTTCCTCAATGTTTCCGGACAAGGGTACAGCAGAGGAATTGAAAGAGAAGTAAGATTTAATTTCTTAAGAAGTGTTAGTGCATTGCATAATGTGCAGAGTTGGATTTCTGTATCATCTAGAAAAGAGCTATAGTTTAGGGGCTGGGAGCTATACAGAAGTGAGAATCCCCCCCCCCCCCAAAAAAAAACCCAAACCAAAACCCTCACTGACCTAGCTCCCAAGGAAGAAGTAGAAAAAAGAGATGCAACTCCCTCGTGCAATTCAGAGCACCAAGGTTTCCCTTGCACGCTCCGGCCCCGGGGAGCAGTAGTGCGAGGAACTGGCTTTTAAGCCGACTCCCCATGTGTGCTTTCCTCCCTGGCCTCTCCCCCAGTTGCCTCCCACAGAGGCTTCAGGGTGGAGGCAGTTGGGACCTGGTACACACGTGAAGCCGGTTTTCCAGCAGACTCCCCTCTCATACTGTCTTTTGTGGAGCTGCCTCCTTCCTGTTCTGCTGCCTCTGCACCTGATTCCCTGCATGTAATTTTCAGTGGTTACACATTTAGAAAAACAAATGTTTAACATCCCTATCGAAAAGTAAACACATCCCTCTCCTGTGTTCCACCTGCCTCTCCCAGGATTAATAAGTAGAGTTACTTCCATGCCTTTTAATGTTGTCATTATTGATATACTTTAAAAGCAAAATTATGTAAATCAAATATTATGTAGTTTGCTTTAGTATTACAGAGCAAAGATAACGTCACATTTTTGTTAAGAAAAATCATGTAATACAATATTTTTAAGCAGGCAGAGTTCATTGCAGGTATCTGGTGTCAGACTTTTCTTGGTTACACCGGTAAGTCCAGAATAGACGCACTGAAATCAGGAGTTACTTTGGATTTACAGTGGTGATACAGCAAAACGTGACCCTTTATGAATAGAATAAACAATGTTTTTTATTTACTTTGCTTTTGAAGATACAAAGAACTCACAGAGCAGCAGCTTCCTGGAGCTCTTCCTCCTGAGTGCACACCAAACATAGATGGACCAAATGCAAAATCTGTTCAGAGGGAGCAGAGTCTACACTCCTTTCATACGCTCTTCTGTAGGCGCTGTTTTAAATATGATTGCTTCTTACATCGTAAGTTCAATAGCCTTTTTGTAAATCTGCATTTCATTTTAGGAGACTGTAAGAAACTTTAAAGTAGTCACAGAGTACAATACAGAATAAGAAAAGAGAACAATAGATGTAATAACATCTGCTAACAATAGACATGCTAATATCATTGTGGTGTAGAAATTTTCTGATTTTTAAAATATTGGCTATATTGTTGCTGTAGTTTGATTTATTTTTTTCCATTTGCATTTTTAAATAGAGTACCTGACCTGGACCATCCTATAGTACTGTTTATTTTTTACTTTCTCTAAAAAAGCCTCAAAACAAAACAAAAAAAACCCTGTTTTGTTTTTCAATACTATTCCATACATTATCTTTTTTTTTTTAAATCATGGAAATATTGAAAACTGACCAGATTTGTGTTGGAGAAATTTGTTCTTTTCCCATTAAGATTTTTTGATACTTAGTTAGGGAAACAAGCCATCTTAGTCCTACGGAGTGAAATTAAACAGTTGTGTCTTAGAAATCATTCAGAAAGAATGTCCTCTTCAGTTATAATTCCTATTGCCTGTTGTAAAAGGTTTATTCAAAAGTAAAGTGTTGAGACACAGTTAATTTCCATTTTCAAGTGGAAACAATGAAGAACTTTCCTGAGAACCATCTTCTATTTCAGGCGCTTCCACCGGCTCCCCTGTGCTCACCGGGGGCAGGGGAGCTGTCTGGATCCAAAATGGTGGCTGCGGACGGAAGCCTGCTGAGGCCAAAAAGCCTTCTTAAAGGGCCAGTCACTATTGGGTTTTTTTGGTTGGTTGGTTTTTTTTTGCTCTACCATTTTTTGGCCCCGGCTCTTCACGCTGGATCTTGGCTCTTCGTCCGGAATGGGTTGGCCATCCCTGTTCTATTTCTTCATCCTGACGTCAAGGGCTCAGAATGCAAGAAGCAACTAGAGAATGAATGCAAAGCGTTTTAGACTGTCTGAATTTGACACTGACGGGTGAACAATATAGAATCATAGAGTTGGAAGAGCTCTCAGGAAGTCATCTAGTCCAGCCCCCTGTCCAAAGCAGGACCAACCCTAACTAAATCAACCCAGCCAGGGCTTTGTCAAGCCAGGACTTAAAAACCTCTAGGGATGGAGAGTCCACCAGTTCCCTAGGTAACCCATTCCAGTGCTTCACCACCCTCCTAGTGAAATAGTATTTCCAAATATCCAAACTAGACTTCCCCCTACTGTAACTTGAGACCATTGGTCCTTGTTCTGCCATTTGTCACTACTGAGATGAGCCTCTCTCCTTCCTCTTTGGAACCTTCCTTCAGGAAGTTGAAGGCTGTTAGCAAACCCCCCTTCCCTCCCCACACTCTTCTCTTCTGCAGTCTAAATAAGCCCAAATCCTTCAGTCTCTCCTCATAGGTCATGTGCTCCAGTCCCCTAATCATTTTGGTTGCCTTGCGCTGGACCCTCTCCAGTAAGTCCACATCCTTTTTATAATGGGGGGCCCAAAACTGGACACAGTACTCCAGATGTGGCCTCACCAGTGCCAAATAAAGGGGAATAATAATTTCTCTATATCTGCTGGAAATTATTCTCCTAATGCACCCTAATATGTTGTTAGCCTTCTTGGCTACAAGGGCACACTGTTGACTCATATCCTGCTTCTCATCCACTATAATCCCCAGGTGCTTTTCTGCTGAACTGCTACTTGCCAGTTGGTCACTAACCTGTAACAATGTTTAGGATTCTTCCATCCCAAGTGCAGGACTCTGCACTTGTCCTTGTTGAACCTCATCAGGTTTCTTTTGGTCCAGCCTTCCAATATACAGTCTACTTATTAGTCAACTGAGGAAAAGAGACTCATTAGCCAGTAGCTTTGAGAAACTCTCTTCAGGACATGACCCACTTGAGGATGGTGAAATCATGGAGGATTAGGCCAATAGTTTTCTAACCCCACAGGAAAAGAGACCATTATATTTTTTTAAAAAAAGATTTGTCTGATCAGATTGATCACTAAAAACAGAAAAAACTAAAGCAGGAAATTCAGTAGATCCAGTGCCTCTTTGAGTCCATAATGAGCACTGGAATCATTAGCTCTGCGCTTACATGTTGAAGAACTGATAGACCAGAAATGAGAATTCCCAAAGTCTTTTCTGAATGGGTTCATGAAAATACTGTGTGTTACCTAGAGAGGACACAGAGGTCTTCACTGAGAAGCCCCCGAAGTACATGTTGACATTCAAAGATGGCTATTTTCTCGATGGGACAATAGATGTTTGAGAAATCAAGGTACTCTGGCTACCCATCTTCAAGCAGAATTATCTAGTGCAGCACTTAGATGGCTGTGGAACCTTGCAAAACCTCTAAGGTTGAAGATGAACACTGAAGTTGTTGTGCACTAGGCTCTTTTAGATGTAGCAGTGCAATTTATGTATGATATCACTTGTTTCTATCACAGAGGCCACATCAGTTGTAAGGAATTCCTTTGGCTGAAGCTGTGATCTACCTGTTACCCTTCAATGGCCACTTCTATTTGACAAAGAACTCTGGTACATGAAATCTGGGTTCCCTACAAAACAAGCCTCAGAAATGGCAGTACTTCTTTCAGTCTAAACTTAAGTAGTTGTTGGCAATGCAGAGGAGGGAGCTCAATGTAGTAAAAAAGGAGTCCGGGTAAAGGCAATTCCTTTTGCCTTTAAGGAGCTCTTTGTTTACCTTCGGTCAGACTGGCATGAAAATATGCTGATCCATGCAGTGCCAGATACCATAGTTGGTAGCTTTTGTCTCATCCTCAGCAGATTGGCCAACATGACTTTTTTGACCTCTCTTGTCTTTAAAATAGGTTATTCAATAGACATAAGTTCTGAATGGGGTAGGAAGGGAGTGGATCAGCATTCACATCACACTCCTTATCACCTGGGCCAGAGAAGATGATGATCCAGCCAGCAGACTAAATTAAGTGATGAATCTTGGATATGTACTATCTCAGCACATTTTTTATATGCAAGTAGTAGTAGTAGTAGTTCCAAACCCAGATACCTTATCCAGTTCACTTGCTGTTGCCTCACAGAAAGGCAGAACTTCTACAACACTTTGGCTCACCTGTTGGAAATCTTGTTTTCCCAGACCAAAGGGGAACCCAGTATGGAGTCAAACATTTTAGTTTCCAGAAAAATACAATTTATACACAATGTAGCAAATTTTCCTGAAGTCACTGGCCCATTCAATCAACTCAGAATAACTTCTGTTACATTTTCAGCGATTCCTGTACTTCTAAAATTTTCAAGACACTTATGTTCCTAAATTGTAAACAATCATACAGATATTTACCAAGGTGATGATGGTACTTGTAGCAACCTTGAAAGAAAAGCATATACTGGGATGACTAGCTGACCAGATTAGGATAGGAAACTAATAGATTGTCATTGCCAGGTTGTACACCTTCCTAGAGAAACATAATTGGATTGTTATTTGAACAAAGAGGCCCCTATCCTTATCTCAGCAGTTAGTCTGCCTGGGAACCAAAGTCAGCTCAGAAGCTGGAAGTGTTCTCTTAGCACAGGATAGGCATGTTTCAGATACATGGTTTTTTTTTTTTTTTTTTTTTTTTTTAAACCTCAGTCATTGGTTGTAGCATTGCACATACTGGGGTCTATAGTGGTGAAGATGGAAGTGGTGCTTGAGCCTGCTTCTGTAGAAAAGTGCTGCAGTGCTTTCTGGTTCCCTGTAAGAGAGCAGAATGTACCTTTTTTTTTTTTTTTTTAAATGCTGGCTGTGGCTCTCTTAGGTGCTGGTTGACAACATTAACTTAGGGGAAGGGAAGGGATGTAGTCTGGCTCGTTCCCATGGGAGAACTTTGAATATATCTTGAGTCTATTGGAATGTGCTACTGTGCCCATCTTTCCGAGGGGAAAGTTGATAGACGTGGTTAATAGACTGCCTCAGTATGAAGCTGGTGAGACTACTGATACACAACCTTGCCAAGTAGCCATTTGGAGTGCAGTTTGATAGCACAATCACAGTTGCATACATAAAGAGGCGGTGAGATACAAGAAGCAAAAAGATGGCCAAAGAATTGAATATAGTGTTGATGTGGGAAAAACACCCACTAGAACTGTTAGACACTCTCCTCGCAGAGAATTGAAACAACATGAAAGACTAGCTAAGCAGAAAACATATGTCTAGTGGAATGAGGAATAAGCCACAAGCTGTTCAGGGCAATATGGAAAACAAAATATTGATCTAATTAATACCAGAGCAACAGGATGTCATGAGTATTCCAGAAGTTTTGAGAAGAGATTTGCTGTTCCGTATTCTGTTTTGAAATAATAGATGTCTGAAAGTTGAGTTTGCCTTGACATAGGAATTCTCACTCTTGCTCCTGGTGAGGAAGGTACTTCAAGAGAGAGACAGATGCATAGAACACATTATTCTCATGGTGTCCAACACACTAGTCCGAGGTGGCCAACCTTCGCATGCGGCTTGCGAAGAAATAAAATTGTGGCTCCTGACAGAACTGGGACAGAACCCGGAACTGCTCAGGTCAGCTGCTATCACGGCCGGGGCACTGTGAGCCTCATGCGTGCTCATGGCCCGCGCCATTCCGCTCACGGCCCCCAGCACACTGCATCATATCCTGCATGTGCAGGCTGGGTTGCACACAGTGTCCCAGCCTGCACGTGCTAGCAGCCGGCTGCTGAGCGCAGGCAGCGGCAGGGGCTCAAGGTGTGATGGTGCCAGCGGTGGCTCCAGGACTTGGGCATAAAGTTAGTGGGAGTGGGGGATTGGGTTAGAGTGGGAAGGGGAGGTGTCTGGCTCTGGGGAAGGGGAGGGGGATTGGGTTGGGGGATATGCCTGCTTCTGGGGAAGGGGAGGGGGATTGGGTTAGAGCAGGGGGAATGCCCTTGGGACGGGAGGGGAAGAGCAGCCAGCACGCTCCCTGAGACCCGGGATCGCCAGATACTGTCCCCAGCTGTCTCCCCCCCGAGTACCCTGCCCCAGCACCCTGTCCTTTGCCCCCACCAGCACAGTTGGGGTCACATTAGTGAAGCTTGGGAGGTTTTGGAGCAGTTATTTTTTTGCATCTCACTTGTGTGGCCCCAACTGACTTTTCTGTGGGTCAGTGACCCCTGACTCCAAACAGGTTTCCCACCCCTCTCATAAATAAAGACAACGCTGACCCCCCGAGTACCCTGCCCCAGCACCCTGTCCTTTGCCCCCACCAGCACAGTTGGGGTCACATTAGTGAAGCTTGGGAGGTTTTGGAGCAGTTATTTTTTTGCATCTCACTTGTGTGGCCCCAACTGACTTTTCTGTGGGTCAGTGACCCCTGACTCCAAACAGGTTTCCCACCCCTCTCATAAATAAAGACAACGCTGAAACATTTTGTGTTTGACATAATACTTTATTTAAAAGTGAAGCCTGGCCAACAAGCCCCCATCTGGCCACAGCATCATAACACTCCTGCACCCCTTGCGCTCCCCCCCCAAGATCCCAAACCTGGGCCTATCATACATTGGAACCCCCTGTCCTGAGCGTCTCACGTCCCCAAACTCCTGCACCCCCACATCCCCAGTCTCCTGCCACAACACTCCTGCACCATCCACACACTGAAAATCTGTGCCCATCCTACTCCCAGCCTCTTTGCCCTGAGCCCTTCATGCACCCCAGACCAAACTTCTGCACGCTCACAGCCACAAGCCTGCAGCTTGCTCAGCACCCCAACTCTCCATTTGATCCCAACGCTCCCCAGCTGGGAGCCCCCTCCTTGATCCAGCAACCTCTTCTCTACTTCCTCCTGCACCTAAATTCCCTCCCAGAGCTTGCACTTCTCATCTCTTCCCAGTACTTTTTTTGTGATGGTATGCCCCGGGACAGTGTACCGGCACCTACTTTCCCTTGGCGCGGTAGTGTGGTTTTTTTTGCTTTGTTTTGTTGCTCAGATTGTCCGCCCTGGGGTACATGGGTCTTTGCACTCTATCCACCGCTGTTTTGGTTCTTTGTCTCTAACGGGTTGGCTACCTGTGCACTAGTTGCTAGCCACGTGTGGCTGTTTGGCCAGTTGAATGTGGCTAGTTGTCTTGAACAATGTGGCTAGTTGGCTGTTTCAGTGTGTCTAGTTTGCTATAGCAGTAGCCGCTATAGTGGCTACTGCTTCAGAATTGGTTGGACACCACAGCATTATTCACATAAGTGAGGACTGGCCAAAATGATACTGGTTCATAGTCTGAATGAATCTGCAATTATCATTTTGGCTTCCAGTAATAAATCTCCAGTCACCCATAGTGATCAAACTCATTTCAAGGATATGGCATGACTGTAAGCCTTAGAATATCCTGTAATACAATTTTAATCTTGATAAACAATATATCACGTAAGAGTATGAGAATTTGGAAGGCAGTGTGGCAATACAAATGGTATGTGTCTTCTGTTTAGGAAGATCATATATTCTGGAATTTTTGCAGGAAAGTTGGAACATGGAA